GTGGGTGGGGGGGGGCGGGGATTAAGTGCACATCTCTTATCTCGCGAACACATTCTCAGGTGTCAAAAGTTTTACCTCCCTGATATATAGATAGATAGATAGCTAGCATGGGTGAGAAACAGAGAGAAATGGGAAATCTTGCCATTACAAAAGAACAACCAGTTGGACAGGACTACCAACCGTAAAATTAGTCTTCAAAGAGGTCAGTGGCACTTCATGGAACACATGAATATACATATCGCTATAAAAACATCCATAACCATCCATAAATCTGGTTTTGAACAATTTGTCTGAGAACAGAACTGGAATTCCATTATGTGGGTTTTTGCATATGTGTGTGGGAGGTGACCATCTGAGAGGAGATATTATGATATTAAACACCTCTAAAAAAGCTAATTTATGTTAAGATGAGTGACTGGGTGCTGCTGCGTGTAGTGCACTCATGCAGGTGTTAGTTTGGGAGAACGCATGTGATTGACGCTTTCAATTGGGCAATGACGCTCAGCTCATCTTCGTTTTGAAGCGCTTGTCATCATCAACAGCATCAGTGAATTCTCTGTATTGTTTATCATTTAGCCTGAAAATCACACAGATATCAAGTGTACTGTAGATTAAAATATATACACAATCATGTTTAATGCTCTCCCTCATACAGAAGCGTCACACACTATATTGCAGATGAAAAGACATAAGAATGTGACATAAGAATGTGTAAATAAACTAGTTTTTACACTTCCTGAAGAAAATGGCAGGGGTGCTCCCATTGCCTTAGCACATTTCTATGCAGATGTTAGCAAAGGAGTCAAGTGGTTAGCATGAACCCTTGACTAGCTCTGTATACACTAGAGCAGTGGTTCCCAACCCTGGTCCTTCAGGCACCCCAACACTGCACATTTTGCATGTCTCCTTTCTCTGATACACCAATTTCAGGTCTTAAAGTCTCTACTAATGAGCTGATGACCTGAATCAGGTGTGTTTGATTAAGGAGACATGCAAAACGTACAGTGTTCGGGTGCCTCCAGGACCAGGGTTGGGAACCACTGCACTAGAGTACAAACGTTTGGGGCCAGTAAGGTATTATATTTGTTTCTGAAATAAATTAATACTTTTATTCACCAAAGACTCGTTAAATTGATCAAAAGTGACAGTAAAGACATTTCAGTCAGGACCACTTCTGAGATAGAATATATTGAGAATTATTTGGATTTGAAAACAGGCTTCGCCTCTGAGGGGCTCAGCTGCCATACTAGACAGTCTGAGAGCCTCCTTGAGGCATAAAACCTCCACGAAAAAAAAAAAAAACAGATATTTCTTAGCTGCATATACATTTTACAGAAAATGAGACATAGACAATTGCAAATAGAGACAGATTAAACAATAACAGCTCAGTCAAGACGATTTCCTAAACAGATCTGAATGCTCTATTGTCAAGATGCTAGGAGGAGAATGGGTGGAGGTGGATGCAGATGTCTGTGCAACAATTTCACAAAAACATTAAGCAATACATCTGTTTTCAACATGGATAATAAAAATAAATGTTACTTGAGAATGATTTATGAAAGATCATGTGCCACTGAAGTCTGGAGTAATGGCTCCATCATAGGAATACATTTTCAGACCAGACAAGATAGCCTTTGTTGCCCTCATGTATTGATGAGCCTTCGGCACCCAATACCCTATTGCTGGTTTTTGGTTTGTCCCTCAGACCACTGTTGGTAAATTCTTACCACTGCTAAAAGGAGGCAACCCACAAACAAGCTCTGCTGTTTCAGAGATACTCTGACCCAGTCGCCTTGCTTTAATAATTTGCCATTTGACAAAGTTGCTCAGATCTTCATTCCTGCCCATTTCTACTGCATCCAACACACTGATTACGAGAACTGTTTGTTTGCTTACTACTCTAATCTACCCAGACTTTAAAGACATTCACATCACCTGTGACTGGTCATAATGTTTTGGCTCACACACACACACACACATATATGTATATGTATATATATATATAAGTAGAAAGAAGAGTTATTTTAAATTGTAATTCTTTCAAAAACTTTTAAAAACCCAAACTTTTGAACAGTACATATACAATTCCATTATATTGTAGTAATTTGATTAGATTAGATATAAGCCATATGTGGCTTATTCAGTACCGGTTAAGCAACTACCATTGAGATGCAAACAACACACCTCTTTAGTTGTTAGGCTGTTGTTATTAGCTAAAGAGTTCACAAGCTATTAGACTGAGGTTATCTTCTCTCTTCCAAAAATACAATCCAAACACCTGCATTGTTGTAATTCTCTCTATCTTTTGCTTTCTCTCACTTTCTGACAAACATATAGACTCTCTCCTTCTCTGTAAATCTCTTTCTCACAGTATCTTTGCCTTATAACACTGTCTGGAGCAACATAAACACACACGTACACATACACACTCACAGAGTGGCTATGGAGTGATGGCAGCCTGCACTATGACCATATGGGCGTCATAACTCAAGCCTCGGATTGGCGTAGAAACCATCTGCCCTACAGCAGGGGAGGGATGAAACTGTAATACAAACAGAGACACACACATTTACCGATGAGTCCTACAGCATTGCTGCCTCCTCCTCTGCTGTAAGACATCAGATCGAAATATCTGGATACAGCATAACCAAAAAGAATGGAGGTAAATGTGCTTTTCCATAATCTATTCAGTCCACTAAAAGACTAGCAATGTCACATACTCTGCTTTTAATTTATGATTGTTTTACGTGCTAAATTATTCCAGACTGTATTCATCCTTTTATCCTATAATCAAACAATTCATACACTAAAGCAAACAAACGAACGAACGAACGAACAAATTGATGAAATATAAATGGTTTTGTTACTAAATGAAAACATTTACTTTCTAATTATTTTTATTGTGATAAGTTTAGTTTTATCTATATTCACATTATGTATCATTTTGTGATATTATCCTACAACCCCAATTCCAGATAAGTAGGGACGTTTTGTGAAATGCCATAAAATCAAGAATATGTTATTTGTTTATTATTTTTTAACCTTTGTTTAATTTACTAAAGAACAAAGAAAAAACAAATCCAAAGTTTTCACTGACCAACTTAATTTGATTTTGTAAATATAAACAAATTTTGATTTTGATGGCTGCAACACACTCCAAAAGAGTTGGGACAGAGGCATGTTTAACACTGTCACATCAAATTTCATTGTAATGAGCAAAATTTTGGTCCAATCTCGCTTGATACAAGACTTCAGATGCTCAGCAGTCTGTGATCGTCATTGTCTGATTCTCAGTTTCATGACTGGCCATACATTTTCAATAAGAGACAGATCTGGACTGCAGGCAGACCAGTCTAGCACATTCACTCTGTGTCTACGAAACCACACTGTTGTAGCACATGCAGAATGAGATCTGACATTGTCTTGATCTAATAACCATGGAATTCCCATGAAAGATGTCATCTTGATGGCAGTATATGTCTCTGTACAATTCCAGTATATGCCTCCATGTCAATGGTACCTTCACACATATGCCAGTCATCCATGCTGTTAGCTCTGCTGCACCCCCATACCATGACAGATGTTTGCTTTTGCATCTGTCACTGATGAAAGTCTGGATGGCCCCTATGGTCTTTAGGACTGAGAACTCAATGTTAATTTTTCCCAGAAACAAGCTGAAACGTGGAATCATCTGACCACAGCACACACGCCGTGGTCAGATGAAAGGTGTTTACTAAAAACACAAGTGATGTAGGCGGAAGTACCGACCCAGTGTTTACAAAGCGAACGTGCAAAGAAAGTCAAACACACTTTACAAACAAGGTAAAACAATGATGTCGGACGATTTCGAAGTTGGAGGGGAAAATGAGATGAAGTTTTTCACCCTACCCTACCGTTTTGAACCGGAGTACACAGACGAAGAACTAACCACGCGACCTTTCCAACGTGATTACTGCGTGAAGTCGTAGACACGCATCACAGAGCTTGTGCAAAACTTAAAGAAATTCCCTAAATCTTTTCACATTTTTATGTACGGTAGTTGGTGAAAGACCTCATTTCTTTGTGGTTTTGCATTGAGAAATGTGATTTTTGATTTGCTTGACACCTCTCTCATGAAATTTGGCACAAAGTGATGAGCCATGACCCAGCTTTACTTGCAAAGACCGAGATGTTAATTTTATACCCAAACATGATACCCTCTAATTTGGCCTCTGTCCCAACTTTTTTTGGAGCCATCAAAATCAAAATTTGTTTATATTTACAAAATGCATTTAAGTTGGCCAGTGAAAACGTTGGAAATCTTATTTTGTATTTTTTTGTACTTTTTTTTTCAATTAAATTCAGTTAAAAAGTTAAAGATTCTTTTTTTTTTTTTTTTGAAACTAAAAAAGTAATAATTTCTAATTATTTTATATTGTGATAAATATATATTTATATTTACTGTATTTATCTTTCTGTGACATTGTCCTTGTATGGATGAAAGAATAAATTAATCAATAATACTTACTTCTGTTATTGTAATTTCTAATTATTTATATTGTGCTAAATCATGGCAGCTTTTTATTTAAATTTTTTTTTTACCTTATATCCTATTATCAAATAATTCACACTTTTTTTTGTTAATAAATTAACACATTTAAATACTATTTATTTCATGTTGCGACTAAATCATGCCAGACTGTATTTAACCTTTCAATTTGTGTCTCACTTATGTATGTTATGGTTGTTCTGATTTATGCACAATTTCCATATGGCTTGAGCTTATTGTTTAAAGAATTTCTGATCTTTAAGCACTTGTTTTTGTTTTCATATTGCACAATAAACTGCACAGTGAATCCATTAGTGACTAAAGCCTTAATCAAAACTGATCAGGCTGCCCTGAAGGTTTCCTAGCAACCACTTAGATTGATAACTGTGGTGCAGTTGTTTTTGTTTTAATGTAGGACTAGGGATATGCCGGTATCAAATTTTCATGTTGCGATTAGTTGCTAATGCTTTTATCACGGTATACGGTATTATCACATTTAAACACGATTCAGAAACAGAAAGTAGAGCAGCTGCTTTGTTTACAGGGTTTCATTTAAATTAATAATTATTAATTATTATTATTTCTGCAGTTTAGCGCCATCTGCTGTCAGAGAGTGAAAGTGCGCTTTCATCCAGAGCATCTCTCACATGTTCCGCCATGTGCTTCTCGTCCGTGCTTATTTACATCAGTGCACACAAGTGTCTTTCACGCAGCATACAGCGGTGTTGTGCATTTTGACCAGTTGATGGGAAAAGTATTCTTAAAATGCATTCAAAATTCTGAATAACTTGTAATATATAATTATTCACGGTATTTAGAAGAGCCCACGATAACAATATCGTGCATATTCATTACCGTGATATATCGCATTACCGAATACCGACACAAGTCTATGTAGGACTAAAGAGAGAATGAAAGAGAAGAGAGCGGGAGAGGCAGAGAGAAAAGAGAGAAAGCAAGAGATAGGAATTAGTGAGCTTAAAGGGCATTATGTCAGTATTCAGAGGATTTAACAATTTAGGCGGGATTATGGCCCTATCGCTTTGATGGAGGAAGGACGGGGCCTTTAGTCCGAGGATGACCATTATTGTTCCTTTCTAGTGTGGGTGGCGGAAATGGGAAACCTGGCCGGTCGTTTATGAACTTCAAGGTTGTGCACAAAGGTGTGATTCTATAAAAAGTCAATGTTCCATATGAAACCAAAATGATCTACATTAATTTCAGCATGGAATTGTATATATATATATATATATATTTGCATTCAGCAGTAGCATAGCATGATTTGCAGTCACCTTCTTTCATTTCAAACATCAAACATTCACTTGTTTCCAGGAGCAGCTTTCGCCCCTGCCTTGACATTTTATGTCCATGGCAGATATAGGCTGACCCTTATTGAGTAGAGTGTCTGAATGTTGAGGTAAATAGGTGAATAAAAGTGCAGAGAAGAACCAGTCTGCATTGATCCACTGGGTGGAGAAGGCTTCACCTCAATCAGTGTGTTCGTCACCCCACCCCCCTGTGCTCTGGTGCAAAACTACTGAGCTACCTATAGATGCAGCATTACGCATATTAGTTGCGCCCCCAAGGCAAATGCTGTTTTAAAATGTAAGAATTCTAAAGCAGCATCACATATCAATGTTTCAAAGTTTGGGGTTGGTAAATTTTGTTTTTGAAAATAGTCACTTATGTGCATCAAGGCTGCATCTATGTTGATCCAAAATAGAGTAAAACAGTAATATTGTGAAATTATTACAAATCATTTTTTTTAATTATTGTAATATATTTAAAAATGTTAAAATAATTGAATTTCCATGATAGAAAAGCTGACTTTTCAGCAGCCATTACTCCAGTCTTCAGTGCCACATGATCCTTCTGTTTATAGTCCAAATGATGGAGAAAATCCAAAAATGATTCAAAACACAAAAGGTTTAATAAACAAAAACTCAGGTAATCCACAGATGACAACACAATGTAACAGTGTGCAAAACACAACAATACCCAACAATGAAATTAAAGGAATTGAAGGGCTTAAATGCACAAGACAACAAACGGAATATAAACAGGTGTGATCAAATGAATGAGTAACCAAGGTAACTATCTGGCCATGGGAAAATGAGAACAAAGGAAACAGGAAAGAAAGATGACAAACTAAATGTCCTTGAAAACAAAACCAAAACAGACTGAACTAAACATAATCGTTACACCTTCAGAAATCATTCTAATATGATGATTTGGTGCTCTAGAAACATAACAATTGAAAATGGTTGTGCTGCTTAATATTTTAAAGGAACTTTTTATTATTTATTTATTTAGTTATTTATTTCTTTGTTTGTTTTAATTTTTTATATTAACGGAGATATATAATACTTTTCTCAGGATTATTTGATGAATAGAAGGTTTAAAATGTCAAAATAACAGCATTTATGTGAAATATATTTTATTTATTTATTTATTTATTTATGTGTAACACTATAAATGTCTTCACTGTTGCTTTTGTTTTATCAATTTAATGCATTATTTCTGAATAAAAAATATTAATTTTCAGTGTAGACTTCAAGGAGAAGTTATCCCACACTGTGATGAGGAAAAGTGAATGATTATAAATAGCCTTTCTTGTTCTAAATACTAAAACAATCCTCAATACTAAAAATACTGTACAATTAATAACTAAACTATATATTGCTAAAATTTGTTAAGTGTGATTAAGTTCATTCCACTTTTATTGAGCAGTAGGGAGCTGACAAGGCTTTGGAACTGACTTGGCTGTGAGGATTGAAAACGACCGAGAATGTGTGTCACTATCGTCCCGCCCTCCATATGTTTCTTTCTTAAAGGGGTCATATGATGCTTTTTTAAAGATCATTATTTTGTGTATTTGGTGTAACAGAATATGCTGACATGCTTTAATGTTCAAAAAACACATTATTTTTCAAATACTGTACATTATTGTAGGTGAGATATAAATAACTCCATGTGTTTATATTGTAACCAGGGCCGTTTCTGAGCATAAGGGTTCCTCAGCAAAGTCCTACACTCTAAAAAAAAAGGTTCTTCAGCGGTTCTTTGGAGTGGTTAAGGTGCTATATAGCACCACTACCGTATAAGAACCTGT